CTGAAACCAATCTTGAACCGGGAAAGCGCATTGGCGAGGATCTCAAGAAAGTTTTTGTATTGAGAAAATACAACCGACTTGGCCCCGGGATCATGCTCCCGAAGCCATAAGATATGCCGTGCCAAAGTATCGATCTTTGTGCCATAGGAGCTATCCAGGTCAATGTTCTTGATTTCTTTCAACGTGCTCGAGCTGATATCGGCATATATAGAGTTTTTTGAAGGACGTTCGAACTCTAGTTTAGTTGGCGCCTTCTCCTCCTGCACGACAAACTCTTGTGGCTTATACGTGATCTGATGGAAGTCGTTTGCTTTCAAGCGTTTTTTGCACGTGGGACAAGTTCGATGCTGATGCCACCACATTCGCAAGCAGTCCTTGCAATATTTATGACCGCAAACCGTCAGAACACCTGCATTAGGTTAGCACCACCGCTACATAAAGGCACTGACTTGGATTTGTACTGCTGATACTGACCGACTTCGAACCCAGACTGGCAGATGACACATATCCTTGATGTCTCGTCTGAGCCAGACTCATCTCGCAGGTGGATTAGGTACCGACGTTTCGCTCGCAAAGAAGAGATTTTCTCGTCAATTTCACTCTCTTTTTTGAGCTTCGAAGTGAAGAGTGTCACATCCAATGGCTTACCAACACTGTTTTCATCATATGGGGCAACAGTGTCAGATATCTGCTGCAGTTGACGATAATATTCAAGCCGATTGTTCATCGTATCTCGAAACATCTCAACCTCCCTCTCTAAGCTGGAAGCAGCCTTAGACTGTTCAGCTGCCAGTTGGCTTGCATGTCTTAACACGAGACTGACATTCTCAAGCTCTGCACGCGCTCGAGAACTTCCTTCATTCGCTTGCCATTCAAGCGCGGTGGTCAGGCTGCGAAGCTCGCTGATAATGCCTCGAAGGGATCCGAGTTGCGGATCAGGCTTCAGATTACTGCGTAGGTTCATCACTTCCAGGAATAGGGTTGGAGAAGGCCCTTCACCCTTTTGTGCTTGGATAATTCCTTGCTTAACTTCATGGGCAATGAGAACGTTCTTTTGTCCAGTTAAGCAATCATGACGGTCGGCGAACATTGCGCGCAAGGCTTCCATATAAACGTACATTTCATCCTGGTGCTTAGTGGATTTTTCATACTCGTCACCTTCTAGCTCCGACTCGTCCTCTTGATCGATGAGTGACTGGGAGAGGAACTTTATCATGGTTTGTCGCCAGTTATCGTACTGTGCAGCATGCTGATTCATGGCTTCACAGAAGTCTTCGAATCGCTCGATCACGCGCCGACCTTCTAGCCCTGTGCTATATACCTGAGGCATCATCTTGGGAATGCTCACAAATTCCTTCTTGTGCGACTTCTCCCTTATCATTTTCATGTAATGGCCGACCTTTCGGGAAATATCAACCAGCATCTCCTTCCGGATGGATTTAGCTGTGGTATACGCCTCCTCTTCCTGTTTCTCGAGGAGTTTGAATTGTTCAGAATCATGTTCCGTGAGCTTCGGATCCGACTTGATCTGGTAATACGCGTTACCCATAAAGAACACACAGATGTGCTGGACCTCGAGAGCTGAGCGCAGTCTCTGACGATATGTACCAATGCGGGTGTTCTTTTCTGTTTCTTCCGCCTCGTTATCACTTAATGAGTCTACTGACACAGAATCTTGGTTATCGTCCGCGGAGGTGACTCGACTCTTCATCCGTTCCGTTTGCAATCGGTCCCGGCATTCTTTAACGATTGCACTTGCTCGTTCCAAGCACTCCTTCCAAAGTTGAAGTGCTTCATGCTTGCGCATTGCGTTCTCCAGCAACTGCCCCCGCCGAAGCTGAGATAGGAGCAAAGTGCGCTCCTCTGCATGTATGAGCACGTCATTCTGGTCGATCATAACCTCGAGAACCTCATTCACCGACCGTAAGGGACCGTTATATCCAACGCCCAAAGTCCGGCGACCTGTGCCTGCAGGATGAAGGCAGGTTTGACGGAGCCTGACAAGCCAACTTCGCATCTTTTCCACCACTGACGGGTCATTAGGGTTCCATTCATCAGTTGTCGGTGCGCCTGATAAATCAAGGCCACAATCTTCACACATCTGCTCGTACAGCTGGCCATAATGTTGCTCTTCCACTGCAGTGAAAGGGACTGTTATAACGACCCTCTTCTGTGGTGGCAAACGAAGCTCATTGCGAACATGATCTTTGCTATGACGAAGGGCAATTGTGTGAACTATGTGTGCTAAGATAGATCGGAAAGACACGCATAGCCTATTCCAGATGAAGCCACAATAGGGTTCGTAATGAAGAAAGAGCAGCAACCCCAGAAGATCTGCAATATCTTTACGAAGAGGCGTTCCAGTTACCGCCCAAGCCAGTTGACGTGGAATCAGACGAGCAACTCTCGCTGCATTGCTGACACCGCTCTCAATCATCTGTGCTTCATCTAGGCAGACCCGCCACCAGGATATCTGAACAAGCGGCGTTTTTCTTGCCTCAAAACGCTTCTCATGGCGCAGGTTTCGCTTTGGAGCATCACCAGAATAGTGGACCTCCCGAGCAAGAACGTTGTAGGTAGTCAGCACAACATCATGATCCGATATCAGCTCGACCAGTTCATTATCTGCTAGTTTCTGATGACGCTGGATCCCTTCATAGTGATATACACTCAGCCCTGGAGCATGCAATTCAATCTCTTGCCGCCACTGCTCAAGGATCGCCGGGGGCGTTATGATCAAAGTCGCTCGTGATGGCTTCAAGCCGTCGACGCGTCCATGCTGGCCTGTATCCTCCGAGAACGTGAAGCGTCGATGGAGGCAAATCAAGGTGATCATTTCGACCGTCTTACCCAAGCCCATCTCCTCGGCTAGTACGCCCCCGTTGAGGACGTTCTCGGCATCATACCAGCTTGTGATATTGGAAGTAACGACCATAAATAACTGACTGGCGAAACACTCTTTACCATTCGCATCAGTAAACCTAGTGAAGGATACTGGCAGGTCACTTGCAGGCTCCCGATTTAAAGGAGCAATTCTCCCGTCTGGTTGGAGTTCCACGCCTTCCCTTTGCAACAACCACCTGACTGCCCTTCTTTGAAAGGGGAAAAGCTGACACTCCAACATGTCACACTTTATATCTGCAGATGAAGCAGGGTTGTCTGGTGGAACATGTACATTGTCATAGAATTCACGTGGGGACCAACCTGTTGCACCCATATCCCTATGGTGCTTTTGCCGAGGATTTTCGAATATTGTGTCATCGTCATCATCATCCCGCAAGATGTACCTCGAGAAGACTTTTGCCGGACCAGCCAGCATCTTGTTGATGTCTGGGACATCAAGGGAATCTCTCCACATGATGAACGTCTCCAAGCTGAACGTCTTCCTATCAGACAGACGGTGAAGAGTAGATTGATAACATATTGAAGGCACATTCTTCTGAAAGTGATCGGCGCAAGCAAGGCTTGAGGCGAGAGACAGATGATTACCCAATCGAACGAGCTCCGGATCAGATCTTTCAATAGTGAAAACTGTTTCACGCCTAAAAGCCGACACTAGTGCCAGGCTGAGACAGCTATGCAGCCCTTCATTCTGAACAGTAGCAGACTGGGTTGGAGCAACCCAATTTACATCGAGGATGACAGGTACAGTATCCAGCAGCTCGGTAGCACCGTCCTTGTCATCTCGATCATGAGTTACAGAGTCAAAGTTCTATCGAGAATCAGCAAAGTTGGTCTAAAGAGACCCGGGAGAGTCCGGCTCCTGTCACACAGGGAGGATACATACCAAGCGCAGGTTGAAACGCGCCAGTGGTATATAACCTATTGGTACTCGTGAGTCCGATAAACCATTGAGCTGTCTTAGACTCCGAGTTGCCGAAGCCAGCTTGCGACGTTTACTTGGATGCTCATGGGTCACTGGCTGCTCGGGCCTGACGAAGGCAGTGGCCAACGATTCCGGGACATTGCCTGAGGTGTGAAGGTTAGTAGGGAATAACAAGATATAGCACCTAAAATGTCGAGGATTCATACCAGGATAAAAAACTTCTGCATTCAGTACAGTCATGCCGCCCCCTCTTGTCTCTGACGCCTCAGCTTGCCACCAAATAAGTGTTGAGTCGAGTAATACTCTCTCACTGTTGCTCCGATACGGCGATCAGATAAGCAGACCTCACGTGCTGATAGGGCTGGGTTATATTAAGTCCGGAATCTTTCCGTTCTAATGCTTGGCTTAGTCAGTCAACCATGAACGCAGAGGCCATGGAAACATGCCCTGCAGTGACGTATAAATTAGAAGATTCGTTCATATAGTTTGAGTTTCATCTACTTATGAACATGTTTGGGTCTCATACATGTTTGCACCATGATCTCGGGCACCACATGCTTCCTAACTGTCAGTGTCGGGTCTCTGCTCTGGACTAGTCCTGTTGCTAGAATTACAGCGTTTCCGCAAGTGAGATGGGTTATCATTATTCACCTATGATAGAATACCATGGACCGTATTTCTGTTTCTCTTGTTGCTGTACAAACCAGTTAGAACTGGCGTTAGGTCTTACTTCATGATATAATTTTCTCTATTCTATTCTAATCCCTGCTCTACAGATTAGTCCTTTCGTTCCCAAGGACCTGCTTACAACATCTAATTGAGGGATCAGGATCTACAGTTTAGGTTCCGCATGCGGCATTAGTAGCTGGACTCCGTGTCAGGAACTCGCGGACCTACACTGTCACTTCCTCATCTTGTGCTTTTGAGCATAGTGGTTTTTCTTTCAGGTAAAGCGCCTACTGTTTTCGTAACCAAGGAAGTGCTATGAGTTGAATGGACCAGATGACGGAAATGATCGACCAAGGTAAAGGCACAATAGCAATATGCAAGACGTTTATCGCTGTCCTATTCATAGAGAACGCCAAATCCTGTTGGCTAGTAGATAATATTTAGCTGATATGACCGTTCCGGACCCTGAATGTGATTATGGCCCTCGTGTCTTCCAAATCATCCCCTAGAGCTGGAAGAGCTCCCTCAACTGTCTCATGGTGTCATCAGGGTCCTCAACGGAGTGACCGATCGTCCTAGGGTCACTGTAGATCTCGTAGTCGTTACCACCAGGGAATGTCTTGTCACCGAAGAAGTGGATCGTCTTATAATCGATACCCGTAATGTCTTTCTCGGCTTCGACGTGTTGTAGGCAGTAAGTCTTGTCCCAGCCGGTCGGGAAAACGTCAAACGAGATTTCACCACCAATAGAGTAGCTGTTCAGAACTGTTAATAACTGTAATGACCATACGCAGTCACTGAAGGCCTGGTGATCCTATCACATACCTCAAACCATAGTCAGGGAACTCCTTCTTGAGCGCATCTACAAGGTCGCGGCGGATGTTGTGAATCTTGTCATACCTGCTCATAAAATCAGTCAAGAGGTCCTGTATATGGTGAGCACCGAGCTACCACTCGTATACATACGCTTCAAACTCCTTCCGTTCCTCGGTGCTAGCATTTCTGCCAATCGGGCTGACGTTGATCATGCCATTGCGGAATTCGACGAAGGTGCCGCGCTTCTTAGGAATCTCCACGTTGGCGATGTACTTGAGCAGAAAGTTGACCAACTTCTGATATTTTTCCTCTCCCAGCCATTGGATGAAGCTGTTGCTTTGAAGAGGCTTGCCCAGGCGGAAAGCGGTCAAACCGTTCTCGGCGAAGCAGAAATCGAATAGGGTTGTGACGTCCGTGGTGTTTCTACCGAGCTGTTCTTGCTGCTTGGGAAGATTCGAGCCACCAACCTGACAATGTGAGACTGCGCGCTGAGCCTAAGAGGAATGAAGACAACTAACGAATCCGATCGCGCACTTGTGACGCAGCTGAGAGAGAAGCGTGAGCATCTCCGGGGTGACATTCTATAATCGGTGTAGAAAAGAAACAGATTAGTCTTTCAAAATACTAAACGAATAGACAGTTGATCATTTCATTCTTGCGAACTTACAGCTCGGGCAGGCGTTAACGTCTTGTCGACATCAAAGAGACAGATTGTGCCCTTGAGGGGGCGGTCCTGCAGGGCAGGATAAACTCCGGCTGCTTCAGTGGCCATAATGGATATAGATTTGAAAGATAGTTGAGGAACTAGGTTAAGTGAGAGAGACTCTGAAGCCAAAGGCGCAATTGACTGAGGGGCAATTGGACTATGTATCTTTTCAGGGGCGGACGTTGTGACAGCCGCATGCGGTGAGCTGGAGGGACAAGCGGGGGTTCCAGACAAACATTCTTACAGCTTAACCGTATCGGGCGGCTTCCAGACAGCTAGGCAGTGAGGCACCAAGGCCAGGCCCAAGGCGGTCAATCTCCAATTTCTCCATACGGATGATCCACGTGGGGCTTGCTTCGCTTATCGATAAGTGTGATAAGCCATACGGTGGTTGCTGAGAAAATCGCAGGAAAAGGCGTAAATAGTACTACTCCGTACATATATTGCCGTTGCCATTGTGCTTGTTCCTCTTTCATCTGTAGTCAATATATCTCTGGTTCCGAGCGTACAGATACTGATAGTGTATACAAGTTCCATTAAGACTAGCTATAGGCCGATAAGACTCTTGTATATGAGGCAGACAACAACGCCAGACCAACTCGAACTCCTTTCCATCGCGTGAAACGTCAACGGCCCATGGTCGTCTGAAAGACCTTGGCTGCTAATTCACTCAAAAGCCTTGCTCGATCTGTTTGAGGAAGCTGGAGGAAGACATCGTAAACGCTCTTTCCTTTGGCATCTCGCACTGCACCAAGACGATTGCCAGCGACTGCGCCAGCCAATGCTCCAGGAGCATTAGCTACGATGAAACCGAGAGCACCACCACTAATTCCACCTACAACGGACCAGAACCGAGATGTTGGATGTGAACGAGTCTGACCGTCAGCATCTGTGCCTTCGCTGGCAAGGCCCTCTTCACGCAGCATTTCTTCAAACACCGACCCGAATTGCTCATTTGCACGTTGCTCACTATCAGCAGTGCTAGTGCCAAAGCCAAAAGCGGACCAGGGAAATCCTCCTGCACCTCCACGGGGCACTTCCTCCTCTTCCTCCTCAACACCACCTGCCATCCTCATCGCATCATACTCCCGTCGGCGTGATACATCCGACAACGTGTAATAAGCATCGCTAATCTCCTGGAACTTGCGTGTCCGAGCCGCCCTCTCTGGCGAGTCGACAGGGACTCTGTCTGGATGAGACTTCAGAGATTCCCTACATAGTTCAGAACAGAGCATGGTCGCAGCATGATGGGCATTGACTCACCTTTTGTATGCATTGCGAATCTCTTGTTGTGTCGCTCTGGGGGATACTCCCAGTACCTTGTCTACATTTGGCATTGATTAGTTCGGACACTTTCTATACAGTATGTAGAAGTTGGCATTTCGTACAGTAATCGCGTTGTTCTAATCCACAGTCAGTTCATATGTTAAAGTCATGAAACACATTCGTGCACGCTTACTAGGCATGTCTAAATGTCTCTATGTTAGAAAATATGCCGTGCTCCTAACTCAGATGGTAAGAGCCAGATGAGTGTAGCTTCATTTGTGTCCAACTCTTCCCGAGAGGTCATGACTCGGCGGGGGGAAGATGACGTCGACGAGGCATTTATGCCTCAGGCATCAGGAAGCACGGAACGAAGGTTCGGCCTTTTCCAGCGACTCGGTTCTGACTAAACAGCAGAGACGGGAAGCCCCTGAGGGCAGCACCAATCATGGGGATGGCGCCAAAGTTAGGACGCCCGGAACCACTGTCACCAGCCACTCGTAGAGAGCGCTGTACGTACGCTGCAGATGCTAGCCACTGCTAGGAACACACTAAACAGTAGGCACAGTTCGGTGTCTAGTGATGGTTTTCAGCTTTGCCTCCTGCACAGACGGGGGAGTCTCACCTAATCCCCTCCCCCCTTCATTTCATTTAACTTCCCTCACACGGCTCGCCATGCTACTTTAACCCTCTCAATTGCACGCCTATTAGGAGACTCAAAGTTGTCTATGATAGATCATATTTGCAGTCACATTCAATTGACAGCAGTGTGAACCATCCCAGCTTGTGACTTGTACAATATCCGCACCGCAACCTAGCTGTGGAGCTGGCCAAAACGCCTGGACCTCAATTGTGTGCATTTGCAGCACGCTACGACTCCGCAATAGCGCGATTGCTTTTTACAGGCTTCACCAGCGCACAATACATCCAGAGGGGTCATACTTTCGTGCTTCCAGCCATCTTTATCAACTAATTCGCTTGGGAAAGTACTGTGTTAGCATTGGCCGAAATTTCAAATCTGACCCTGCCAATAAGTCGCTCAAGCACCCATATTCAGGAACACAATCAAGATGGGCTGGTTTGATGGAAAATCTTCATCCTCGTCTTCCCATCACTCTCATTCCCGCCGACGTTCTTCCCCCTCACGACGTTCCACTTATTCAACCCATCATCCTCGTCACTCTGCTCCCTCGATTTTCAGTCTGAACGGCGGTGGTAGTCGTGTCGGACGCACCAGCCCGTCCGTGCTCTCTTCGTCCTCATCGCGGCGCGCACGGCCCCGAACAGGCTTCGTACAGAAGGTGGTTCGCGCCATCAAACGCTTGCTCCGTGACATTTACGACTATGCGCGTCGGAACCCGGTGAAGGTTCTCATGCTGGTTGTCATACCGCTCCTCACGAGTGGTGTCCTGCAGAAATTGCTCGCCATGATCGGAATTCGACTGCCAAAGGGGCTTTTTGGCGGGAACTCATCGAAGCCCAGTGGCAACAGCATGTCAGACAATATCAAGGGCCTCATGAACATTGCGAAAATGCTGATGTAACTACTGAGGCATTGCTTTGTGGTCTGTATTCCAGCGCTTCTGCACTTTGATGTATGAATGGGAATATCAGCGAGAATTAGTCAGAAAAGATAGACACGACACGATCATGATACGACAATGACGATACGACGCAAACTTGACCTGATGCTTCTTGGTTACGATGTCCGTTGGCGGTTAGGGGTAAATCCAAAGAGTCATGTTCCCGATATGTTTTTGATTTTTATCGATTACGGTGTTATGCAAATGTTCAAGTATTTAGACACGAGTTCAATGAAACGTCTCCACGGCCTTCTCGCCTTCAAAGATATTTTTTGGACACCAAACATTATTTGTACACATGCAATGGCAAGAATTGTTCGTAAGCTCTTTTGGGGGGAAAAGCATCGAACCACAGGAGATACCGCTTACCAAGTAAGCGGGTTTCGCTATCTATGTCGGATTCTTTACGATCTCTGAGACCGCTTTCCCCGCCTCCTTGCCTTGGAAGGTCTCGCAGAGCTGGCGGTGCCTTCAGTCGACTCCTCCACGACTTCGGAAAGCTCCTCCTCTGACTCAGCACCGCTATCCACGGCATTTGAAGCGAGCAACCTGCCAACCGTCTTAGAGTAAACCCAGCCCGGCAAGCGGAAGACCATCGTGTCACGAATTGTCGGACGCTGAATCTCATCGACGTCGAGCAAGAATTCCTGACGCTCGCCATCTTCTGTTTCCTCCTCCAGGAATACATTTCCAAGAGAGTCGACAATCAGTACCTTGCCATTCTCAGCAATCACTTTCTTCCGCTCCCCGGTGGGCTCCGTCTGAGGCTCGGAAGTGGGCGTGGCCGTTCCAGAGTTCCGGGATGCCGCCCGGCCACCTTTCTTGCCCTCCTTGCGGTTCTCCCTGTCCATCATGCGTTTTTGGCGACGGTTCATAGGCATAGCACTCTGTTCGGGCTCCGGAGCCGGTGCCGGAGTTGGGGCAGGAGCTGAGGCACCATCAAGACCGGGGATACCCCGGACACCAGATTCATCACCCCAGGCAGCTCTCCTCGCTTGACGGATGTAACGATCGACGAACTCCCGCTGGCGCTTCCAGCCCAGCACCAAAGCAGCGTAGTGCGCACCACCACCAAAGACCAGGAACAAGCCAATAAGCACGGATCCCAGACCAGGACGAAATCGCGAATAGTAGTAACCAGTTCCCTTCCACTTGGGGAAACCATTCTTCAGGAAATGGTCGTAGCGCTCACGACCCGGGCCACGGAGGATATTGGCGACGGTGTTGAGGCGAGCGGAGCGCTCATGAGCCTCCTTCACGGCCGCGGCGATTTCGCGCTTCGAAGGACCATTGTTGACATGGACACCGGACTCGGAGGACTTGGAGCGAGACTTGTCCTTGGAGCTGTTGGCGATGAAGGACCGCTTGACTTTATCAGGATGCAGAAGTCGGGACTTCTGACGGTAGGCCTTGCTCAATTCATCTTGGTTGGCGTTGGGTTTGGCGCCGAGAAAATCTGTCCGTTTGGAAAATGGTCAGTGGCGGGGGACTATGGAGGTGGAAGGGGAATTTTGTTTGCTCAGGGGACACGTACCGTAGAATGTCACATTGGGACCTTCTGCAGCGGCGAGTTCGTCATTGATACGGAAGATTTCATAATCTGGAGAGTCGCAGAGAATTAGCATATGGGAATAGAGAAGTTTGCGGGGTAACAGAAGGGAAAAAAGAGCAGCAACTGACCTTCTTTAGTCCAAGCTGCGGCCAGAACAATCAGGGCTACAAACGCAAACAGACGAAGTGCGATGGACCTCATCGTGGAAGGAGGGAGCGGTCAAGCCGCTGGACCCAAAGCGAATGAGAAGAGAACGAATGAAACAGAATGAGCAGTGGAGAACAATTGATGCGCCAAACAAAAGACTACATGCAACTCATGTTCATGATTCAACAAGTGGTGAAGTACTTTGTAACTTGTTCTTCCTCCAAAAACGAGATAGGTGGAATCCTCAGGCGACGATACCGCCAAAGCAATGATCTGTCATCAGGCAGGAATGGCGTTACGCTTACATGACGAGAGAGCTAGGCCTAGAATGGGCAAATCCGGGTTCACCGCCCAGATCGGTATGGAACGCCTGAAACGGAATTACGGTACGGGTCCAGTGGAGTCTGCAGCTGCACGACGTGGTCCAATAAAGGATCCAAGGCCGGGTGAGGAGAAATCGAAAAGAGGAGATAGGTAGATGGAAATGTGATTGATACCTAATGTTTGCAAAAGTGGCTATTCCAACTCACAGGCTGGCTGGCAGTAGAGAGAGGGGGTGGTGGTTGGGACAGCTGGGGTTTAAATTCGAGACAAGTCCCCTCTGGCAGTAGTGTAGAGGATAGTGAGTGAGTTACTGAGTGCTCTTCTTCCTTGAATTACCACTTGAAATAGGGCATATCAGGCATGGAATTGGAAGAGCAGTGGAAGATGATTGAGGGGAAGTGATGGGGATGGCTTCTTGAGTAGTCAACCCTCAAGAGTGATCGTTCTATCTCTCTCTCTCTCTGTCTAGATCTCTTCTTCCGCATCCAGCTTCGAAGGGTCTGTCTCTCTACTCTCTCCACCCATTGCTGCCCTGCTTTCTATTCTTAGCGGGCCTCATCCACTGTGTGTCTTGATTGGATTCGAGGGTCCATGAAACCGGAGCAGTGACTGGAGCAGTGACTCAAGCGTTGGATCCAAACGTGCCTTGTTTATTTGCCTTGCCCTCCATTCCTCCGATACCTTATAAGAAGCACCCGAGTCCACTTGTCTTCACAATTAACCTTCTTTGTTGCTGGGCGGTACCTCTCAAGCCTGTTACAAGGCGAATCGGTACCTGGAGGGTACTTACTTCGGTTACTTTGTCTGTGCTTCCCGCCTGGGACCGCCGGGGGGAAAACCACGAGAAAAATACCGAGACCAGTACTGGAATACGCCTAGACTAGTTCGGTGCTTCCAGGCTGCCAAAACGCCTCGTTGGTTTTGCTTTCGGGCCAGCTAAGCCGCTTCCAATCTTCCTCGACAAAAACATTCCCCGGTCTCTCTTCTCTCTCAGTCCTTCCCCCTTTTCTTTACTGCTTTTACTACACTTCATCTCCATCATCTTACCGTCTTCAGTCTTCTCATACCAATCACTATTTTCCCGATCCACTTCATCTCATTCAATTATCTTTCTCCTACCTTATCTTTCAAAACTTCACCCGAACCTCCAAAAATGCCTCTCCAGATCCCCATTGATGCGATTACCTCGCGCTTCGGCGAACGGTTCAACAGCGTTCGCTCTCAATCCCTCGGCACGCGCTTTGCCAACCTGCGTCCCATCTCCGAATTCCTGGACATCAAGCGTGTCTCCAAGCCCGCCCACTTTGGCGAGGTCCAGAGCCGTGTGAACTACAATCTGTCCTACTTCTCTAGCAACTATGCCGCCGTCTTCGTGATGCTCAGCATCTACAGCTTGCTGACCAACCCCCTGTTGCTCTTTGTCATCATCCTGGTCACCGGTGGTCTCTACGGCATCGGAAAGCTCCAGGGTCATGACCTGGAACTGGGCTTCGCCCGGTTCAACACTTCCCAGCTGTACACCGGACTGCTCATTGTCGCGGTGCCTCTGGGGTTCTGGGCCTCGCCCATCTCCACTGTGCTCTGGCTGATCGGAGCCACCGGCGTGACTGTCTTCGGCCACGCCGCTTTTATGGATAAACCAATCGAGAATGCTTTTTCCGAGGAGGCGGTCTAGGTGGTCGGCCGCGAACTCCTTACGGTATGCCCCGATGGGGAAGACCACCGGGGGCACGAGTGGGGAGAGAAAACAGACGTGCAGCTCCGTGGGTGGACGGTGCGGCACGGATCGAGGAGGTTGACAGCGAGGAGGAGGATGCATACGCTCGATCGGCGTATGCGAGGCAGTCGGCGGGTCGGGACGAGGGTGGAGGATCTAGGTTGCGCAGGCGGAAGATGGATTACGATGATTATGTGGACGAGATGAATTCCATTGATGGGGTGGACTATGATCTGCGTGAGGACATGGACAGCACAGTGGCGTATGCAGTTCAGCTAGCCATGAAGGACAAGGAGGAACGGTTGGTGGATCAAGCCTTGGAACGGATTCGACGCGCTCAAAAGCAGGGTCAGAAGAACGTACGACTTTCGGGTCGAGAAATGGAGGCGCTGGAGCGCAAGCGCATGCAGGCAAACCGGACCCCTGATCACGACTATCGGAATACAAGTCCCCAGGTTTCCCCCGGTGGCAGCCGATCCTCGAAGCCGCCGGACAGCCCCAGCAGCAAAAGGGGAGCGCAACGGAGGGGGTCCAATGCCTCGACAGCGAACAAGCATGGCGTGCCCTCACCGTTAGCCGAAAACAACGCTGCCTATGCGTTCTGGGCCTGGACCTCGGGGGCCTCTGGCGGGTCCCCAGCTTCTGCACGTTCGCCATCTGCCCGCACGCCTACAAGCCAAGCACCGCCTCGATCCCCGCTCCAGCCAGCTTACGCCTTCGACCGCCTGGCTTCCGTCCCTCAGATTCGCACACCGGTGGGCGTGAAGAGTCCCTCTGTGCGTTCCCTTCCCGATGATCCACAGTGGGCGCCTCCGTACCCTCCGCCGTATCCAAGAGAACAACCGCCGTACCCGACCGATCGTCGACGCCCGGAGCCAACTCCATATATGTCAGGCTACCGCAGCGTCTTTGACGATTCTGCGCGTAGCAACAGGCGAGGTGTGACTGCTATGCCGGGGGCTGCGATGGAGGGGCGTCTCAGTCCAGAGGAAGAAGAGGAGGAAGGAAATAGTTCCGATAACAGCGCCATGGTTGAGCGCCGCGTGGCCGGCAGTACGCCGACACGGGGGCCAATCGGGCGAGGCAGTCGACCCCGGAGCAGTCGATCTTGAAACCCCCGAATCGTGCCCTTTCACAACGTTGCTTTCTTTTCTATCATGGGCGGCTCATGTCGCAGCTGATTTAGCCTTGAATATTTCTTGCGTGGATTCCCATGGTTGGATTTTCTTGCGCGTATAAAACGTAATGGAGTTCGTCTAGAGCGGGTTACCTGAAATGATACTATTGATAATGATGACTTGTTGTCCAGATTATCATATTAGTAAATGTTAGTAATGTAACGCATAGGGAGGTCCCCAAGTAGTAGATCGTGGTGGCAGTGAAGTATGTTGTAAGAACTCGTGATAGTACCATTCATGCAAGTCACCGTGGCTGGTGGCGGTTCCCGAAACCTAAACGGACTGACTGACTATAAAAATTGTATCAACTGTATAAGGCGATCCGAGCAGAATTGTGTCTGCCTAGACTACTAACTGGGCAAACGATGGGATGATGAGCTAAAAAGAAGTAGTAAGTAACTAAGCAAGATGGATGTATTAATTAATTGGGGCCTGAAATGCGAGGAACCGCGGAGCGATGACGTCGATGAGGTCATGGGCACATTTGGCTGTGCAAAGAATGCCAATACCAGCTTCTGCTTTGCTTCCTTCCACTCTGGGATTTACTTTGCAGAGCTTCCGATCCAGCCGGCAGTCCATTGGATAGACTTTGGGATCTACTCTTTCAGCAGTGATGCCACTCTCCTGGCCGGTGGGCCCTTTTCGTCGTCACCATCTGGGCAGTTGCGTGTTAAATTAAAGACGGACTCGGTCTCTCCACCGACCCAGTCTTTTTGCTCTTCTTTTCCCTTTAGTCACTCTTTTATTCCTCCTCTCCTTTCCTCCCCTCGCTGCCAATTTTGCCCTCTTGTCGTCGGTCAAGGTGTCACCAACGCTGTCAAACGCCGTCTACCTCCCTCTTCCTGCTGACCCTCGGATCCATTGATTGACGACAAGCCACTTCCGCCCCTTCCGGCGCCCGCGTTCCACCCGATCGCCCATCGCGACATCTTATACTACCTCGAGTCAGTTTTTCACGGCAGCTCTTCTTTTGGGCAGCATCGGTCGCTAAAGTGCGCTGATTGTTGCGCTTGCTCGCAGAGACATTTATTACTTCATTGGAAGAGGGGAGGCCATATATAAATCATTCAGCGAAAATGTGGATTATATCATTTTGGATATTCCCGATCATCTCGGCGTGCACATGGATTGGTAGCGTCTCCCCCCTATACAATTGTGGGTCAATTGTTCCGACAGAGACTGACAAGTCCCTTCTAGCCATGTTGATTGCGATGCTGGCCACCTGGGCCAGAGAAGGATCGCCGATATATGCCAGTATGGAGACGGGTCAGACCATTGCGTAGGTGTCACGCGACCTTGGATCTAGTATGCGACTGCAATGCTGATTGTACACCTTTCGCGAATTTCTAGCTATATTTCCGACGTTGGAGCACAGGGTCTGAAGCCGCTGTTCATTGCGGGCAGCTGCGTCACCGTCGTTTTTCTTGATCTCTCTTTCCTGTCAGAACGCTGGTTGCGACATGCGGGTCAATTGGTCCCGAACAAGGGCAAATTCGACAAGGCCTGCGCAATCGCGTCCATTTGCTTCTCGATTGCGGGCGCCTTGGGATTGATCCTCCTTTCGATCTTTGATACTCTTCGTCATCCGAATATGCATGATGGCTTTTTGATCATGTTCTTGTTAGTATCTCGTTGCGCATTCGAGGAGAGAACCCCTCGAGGCTGACATATCTGCAGGGTTGGATACTTGATTAGCGCCATTCTCATTTGCTGCGAATACTGGCGTTTGGGAATCTTCTATCGCTCCCAGCACCGAGTGCTCCTGGCCAGTTTCATTATTAAGCTCTCATTCGTCATCATTGAAATCGCGCTGGCCATTGCTTTTGGTGTCCTCGGCAACAAGGGTGGTCATTACCGGAACGCAGCGGCAGTTCTGGAATGGGGTGAGTGATCTGTAGATGATTTCCAGCAGATATGGATAGATTGACTAACGGAGGACAGTGATTGCGCTCATCTTCACGTTTTACGTGCTTTCATTCGTGATCGACCTGCTGCCCTCGGTGCGCACGCGCAAACATGTGCCGCAGGGCGAGAAGGTGTCCCGGCATGGACAGACGACAGCGGCCTATCCCGATGGCACATACGATTATGAGGAGCCCGTCACGACGGACTCGGCAGGGCCAAATGCTAATTACTACCGGGGACAGCGGATATGATTAGGCCCTTTTGAGTTGGCTCGGTGTGAGAAATGGTTTGACTATTTTGGAACGATATTTAACGATATATACCCCGTGGATAGGAGTGGTTGTATAATGGAGCTGAATTGATTGATATATTGTTGGTGTGGCTGATGTTGATGTCTCTTGGGACCTCTTGTTTGGATTTACGATCTGCGATCCTCTTTGCACATATTGATCTATGACGTTGACTGTATAGTACGTGCCTAATAACTGGATAATGTATGATCATTGAGAGTCAGTAACACATACAAACTACAACCATAATTACCAGCAAAGACGTTATAATAAAGCAGACATGATTACATTATATCATCGAGTAAGACATCATCTAGACCTAAAGAAATCAAATCTACCTATACATCCACCCCTTAAATAAGGATACCAAAGAAAACATTGTAAAAAATAAAAATAAATAAATAGATCAAGCCAACAACACCTCCCTAATCCTCTCAACCTGCTCCCTCCCCACCCCAACCGTCCCCAAATACCCCTGTACCCCACCATACCTCTCCTCCAAATGCCCCCGAATCGTCTCCACAAAGTGCCGCGGACACTTGGTATAATCCTCCGACAACCCCAACAACCTCACCTCCTTCATGCGCTCCTCCATCTCAATGACCAATTCACCCTCAGAACGGAGATAATCCTCCCTCATCACCTCCTCCGGCACCACATCCGCCACAAGCAGAAGCAAAAGAAGGATGATAAGACCCGTGCGATCTTTGCCTTGCGTGCAGTGGATGAGAATCGGATAGGCACTACTATCCTCAGTCTCATTCTCATCGCTGCCATCTGCGCCAGAGGTAGAGGTAGAGGTAGAGGACGTGGACGTAACAGAAGAGAATAAATCAAACAACGTCTTCATCTCCCAATAGCTACTATCCAATGTATCCATGCCTAGTCCGACTAATCCCCGCGGAGACATGACCTGCTGTCCGACTATTTGGACGGCTGCGGGACGGTAGCCTGATGCTACTAGAGCTAGGACTTTGCTGTATTTTTAAATTTCTTTCTTTAGTTTCTTTTGATCTCTAGTGATTATAAATAGAGGTTCGGAGGAGGGGGAGGAAACATACAAGAAATTCCACCAATCTAACCGCCAGAGAAGCGTCCGCTCGAATGCTTTCCCTGTTAAGCTGACGGGGAAGCGAGTGACGGTGGGTAGATCGGGGAGGTGGATGTCTGTTGATGTTGCTGATGCTGTTGGTTCTGGTACTGGTGCTGGTGCTGGTGGTGTTGATGATTGTCGTTCGGGTGACTCTGTTGATGATGATGACGATGATGACTCTGTTGAAGAAGCAGCAGCAGCAGCTAGTTCAGCTAAGCGCTTATTGGTGGCTATTTGATGTTCGGTACTGTGTTTTCCGTCAATATGAAGGAAAATCATGAAAGTTGAAGGGTAGAAGAAATACCTCGATCTCAGATCCACAACCGTTGAGATATGGAATTCTTCTACAAGACGGCGTTTGTCGCGCTCAGAGGCATCGTCTAGCTTTAATGAATTGGGATGATGTTAATATGTATTCATTTCAAACAGCTTTTCCATATATCATTGATATACAGAATATGTAAGAGTGGGTAGGTATATATACCCTTGCACTTCGAAAGAGGATACCCTCTTTCAACACCCTATACAAACAGCCATTAGTACACAGCATACGATATATCATATAAATAAGGCATCCCCATACCTCTTCCCAATCAACTGGTTAATCGTACGCCCAACGTCCCGGAAATTGATAATGTTGTCGAAGGGACGACCTGGAGAATCGAGATCTACGCTCGATTGGCGGGGATGCGAAGAGGACATGATTATCTTATATGTCTTGTTCCTCCAGGTTAAATGTATTTGAGTGGAAAAAGTAGGGGTTTATATATAGTACAATTGCAGTGTCCGCAATAATCTTTGTGAAGATTCAACGCAGGCAGACAGAATAAGGCCAGGTTAGGAAAAAAAGTGGGACAAGAAGTGATGACTGGGAGGTCCGCTGTAATAAGTGCAGAAGTGGGAAACCCGAAAAGAGAAAGAAAAGACAAACAAACCGCAAACCGGGCAGCCAATCGACCTAACGAACGGGACTAAGCATGCAGGAATCCAGCAAGATATCTTGACAAGGCAGAAAAGGTGGAGGGAAACGTGGATGCGCCGATGGGGAGCCGCGCGGCAAATGGCGGTGGAGCTTCAGCCCATCAACAACACTAACTTACTATCTTTTATGGCCCAAACTATTATCTGCTCGCTGCAGTGCCGCCCATCGTCGGGCCAGTCAGCTTCTATTCCCCCTACGATCTACAGATAGTTGATGTTTCCACCCGCTGTTGCATGCTCATCTCCCCGGTTACAAGCATTTGCATTGTTATTCGCACACTAGTTATCAGAATTGAATTCATCGTCGGTTCCATCACCATCTGCCCAATCCTGGATCCGACTGAACACACAGCAAACAGCAATCGCATCCAACAAACACCCATCCCTACAGACAGAAGTACACCGCAGTAGCACCGTAATATCAGTCAGAAGACGACACATTAGTGGTATGTACCCCAATTCCCTCCCCCGTAAAAGTACACAGTACAAACACAAGAGATATTCCTACACAAGAAGATCAAACCACACCCCGCGCGCTCCCCATTCAAATAGAATAATGGACAACACAAGCCATCAACTCCTATCAATCACAACTTCTCCGAGAACCTCGATTCCCGCCCAGTCCCGCTGCTCGCTCGCTTTGTTCGAACGGTTGGGACAGACAGGCCTTGTTCCGCCGCGCTCGCCCGCCGTTCCTCCGTCTCCACCCCCGGAGTGGGGATGGCCTGCGAGCTTCGACGAGCAATATCATTGCTGCCAATCCCTTCAGTCTTACCCTCCGACGAGCTCTTGGAAACAATCTTCTTGAACCCACTCACGAGACGACTGCGCCTATCTCCCGCGGATTCCTGACCTGCCTGGCTGACAGCTTCCTTCTCATCCTGGCCTTCGCTGACTGACATCCGTTTACTCATAACGCGAAGGTCGTTGGCCGTCACCGGATGAGATCGAAGCGCTGCTCCTCGCGAGTCGTCCTCGGCAGCTGCCTGCTCAGATTCTTCAGGGACAACAGGAGCAGCCGGTAGTTCCGGAACTTCGGGTTCCTTCTCTTCTGGATGAGCAATATCCCAAGCTCGCCCGTCTTCGTCTTCGGATTTCTGCACTGGCTCAGCTCTTGGGATCTCTCGAGCTTCCTGTGTTTCCTCCCTCTCAGCTACCTGGGGCTCCGGCAGTTGTTCCGTCTCTTTGACGGCCCGGGTCTCTGGCTGCTGCCCCGTGGCTTCAACTACCCGGGTCTCTGGTTGCTGTTCTGCCGTTTCACTCACCTGAGCCTCTGGCTGTTCTGCAGCTGGCCCTGGTTCCATTGAAGGGACCACTTCCAGAGTGTCCTTGCCTGACTTCGTAGCCTCGCCTGCTGCAGGTCCACTCGGACGACGGCCTAGCCGACCCTTGAACCATGATCTCAGCTTCGACTCGGACTTTGAGATGGCCTCGCCGGGAGCAGTCTCCGTAACAGCGCCTGCACTTGTCCCCTGAGCACCCTCCGTGGATGTCTGTTGCGGCGCAGTCTCAGCGCGTGCCTCTTCTGCTGCTCCGTCAACAGCCCCAGTTAACGTATAGGTTTCGTTCTCGGAAGTGCGCTTCGACTTGCGGCTCCACAAACGGGCTTTCTCCTCTTTGTACTTGGAGTCGGTCCTCAAAGAAGCTATTGCATATTGTTAGTCTTTCTCTCCAAGGTATCAATAAGCAAGACAACTCACCTCTCATGCGTCTCTCCTCTGCCCTTGTGTCAGCATCTCGCTCGCGTTGGATGGCTTCTCGTCTCTCAGCCTCTTCTTGATCAAGACGCTGCTCTATCTCCCTAGCTCGCTTCGTTTCCGCACGGTCCGTGATTTCATCAAACGTGGGTTGCAACCGGGAACGAGCGAGAGCCTCCACATCTGCCATGTCGACGTATTTCTGGGAGCTGATATTCACGCGGTCGGCGAACTGGTACTGCGCGTCCGTCTCCTGTCTCTCCTTTGCGCGAAGTAAGGCGGTTTCCTCCAGTTCCTTCTGCATGGCGGCTGGGGCGCGCCCTGTCTCGGCATAAACACGCATCTCCATGTCTTGGATGGTAGCGTCGACATTTCTTCTCGCAGCTTCCATCAGGAGCGCGCGGTCCTTTTCTCTGCGCTCATCCACCGCATCGAGCTTTGTTCGCAGACTATACATTTGGCTTCTGATCTCCTTCGACCTCTCAGCGTCAACCGAAGAAGCATCACTGTCGATTGATAGCCTTCGTCTGCGGACCTGTAAGCTAGAGCGCGTTGTCTGGGGCTCGATTCCGTAGTATTCGCGGTAGATGGCCGCCTCATCCTGCATGCTGGCCAACTTCTCCGCCGCCCGCTTCTCTGCGGCATCTTGTAAGCTAAAAGCCTGTTGCAAGATCATCGGCTCTGCTCCCGTCGCTGTCCGCTGGGAGCGCATGCGACTGGGGCTGATGGGGCCCTGCTCCTTGGCCTCAACAACCGCATACATGTCACGCGCCATAGAGACTGCTGCAGCCTGCAGGATGCTCTTCCGCTTGTATTCGTCGAGCTCTGGTGCGACGGGAGGGGTAGCGGTGTAAAGCCGCGCATTGGTGTTGGCAATATGCTGGATCCTACTAGCTTCCATGGCGTTGTCGAGATCCCCAAGGACTTCGCCCGCCTCCATTCCCACGTGAGGCGCCTCTGACGGGGCGGAGTCGGCTCTCCTTCGGTTAGCATATAAAGCACCCGTTACCGCATAACGCGTCCTATCTCGGCCTGTTGTACCGGAACGTGATTCGACCGTCTGACCAGCTCCGGACGAGTCATACTTGAGATCTGACGGCCCAGTGGAAGAGCTGACGATCGACCGACGGTCCCTGAGAACGAAGGCCGCAGCCTTGTAGCCTTCCAGGCTTGGCACATCGGATGCGCGCTTGTCTTCCACATGCTGCGTTGTAGCGGCACCTTTTGTCCCCCATCCTTTGGATTGGGCGTGAGCGAGAGCGGCTACTGCAGATGCATGGCTAAATCCGGGGCGGGAGCCTGTCGCCTTCAAGGCTAGGGAACAGACGGACAGTCAGTATTTTTGGGGGATTGGTCCTATGGTCGAGTGAATACGAATAGGCGAAATTGATACTTACTGGCTAGTTCCGTTTCAGCTGTCGAGGGCTCACGAACTGATAATTTCCGTTCTGGATGGGTTACATAGAGAGCGGCTGTCGCAGCTGTGCATGGTGTTGTGTTAGCTGTGGATTCGCGTCTCGGTATACAAAGTAGAGTGGGACATTAGGGACGCATGAGATCATCGATCATAGCAGCGTGGAGATATGATAAAGTAGGGTAGGGATGTGAAACAGGCTAACAGGGCACAGGGCACAGGGCACAGGGCACAGGGCCGATCAGGAGCCCAGGATGCAAGGACGCAGATCGTAACTCACCTTGATCCGCTAAGCGGGCAGACCGGGAGCGGCCGAGGGTAACGCGTTCGACGGGCGCGGGTTGTTCAAGGGTGGTTGCCATGATAAGATAACGACGATCGTCTACAGGGTAGAAGAAGGCGAGGCATTCCTGACGAAGAGGAGATGGGTGGAGGAGAAGGGGAGGAAAAGAGGAGGAGAAAAGGTAGGGATTGGGAAAGGTTAAAGGGTAGGCAGCAAAAGGGAAGAAACGTTAAAAGGTGGGTGTTGTATGTAAGAAGGGCGAGGGGGATAAAGTTAATGACGCCGATGATGCTGTGGGTAGAGTTTCATGAGGTGGTAGTAGTACTGGAGAGTAAGGGTATGAGTAAAAGCACTGTACTGTTTAGTTAATTAGTTCGGTTAGTGGGCAGAAAAAGGGAAGGAACGGACTGCACACGCTGATTGGGGAAGGAACAGAGCAAGAGCTAGAGCTAGAGAGGAAGAGAGGAAGGAAGCTGAGAAGGGAAGGTGCAAGTGACATCAGGGCCGGGAGCTGATGTCATGATGAACTGAACAGACCCGAAAATGGTTGCATTTCTTGCTTCTTCCGGGGGTGCCTGGCAGCTCTTGTCATCGACTTTTGACTCTTCTGCAGTTCCTTCATTCAGCCTTATTCCATGGTTCCAGTTCTTCACTAGTGGGATGGTGAACTTTAAATATCTACATCTACAACCAGATAGCACAAAACAAGTCTGACGAACATTATTCCCACGGTGGAGGATGATCAGGCACTCTTACACTCATGCACTGTCTGGTAGCGACAACCATCATGCAATCCATCCACCTCTCTACCCACTCACTAGCTAGTCTAGACTTGCACACGCAAGCACCAAATCTGGGTCTGTGTAACAACTTAGTAGACTAGACCCGGAGCCTTCAGATCCAGTCCCGCCTAATCACTTTTAGTGTTGAAACTAATTGCCATAGCCATTGTTATAACTGGTGGTCCGGATGAATTGCGCGCGGACCCGGGGTCATGTCATCATGGCAGTGCCTGCCTTGCTCGTGCTATTCGCTATACCCCAGGGTTGATAATATCGCAGGGCTCTTAAAGATGCACGTTCCCCCCCCCCC